ATCCAGCACCACCGTCAGGATTACTTTTTAGAGTCCAAAGTACTGGAAACCGACTACGGCCGATCATCCTGTCACTGACCTTCTTATCGCCCCTCTCCTCACCCTCACTCATTGGTTGGATCTTTGCCGGATTCCCGCCTTCATTACCAACAACTTGTGCTAGAGTCAGCCTGTGGTTGCTGACTGAAACCGTTCGGCCTTGAATGCGCATGACAGAACCATCCTCGGAATCAGACGAGTAGAGCTGCTCATCGGTGAAGCGTACCACCCGGCATGTGCGAGTCGACACCGTCCGAAGGGGTCGGGCAAGTGACGACGGGGTGGTGGCAGCTGTTTTTGGCCTTGCCGCTCTCTCCCGGCGGTCCAAGGCGTCTCGCCTGAACATGTTGATGAGTGTCTCCTCCATGGAGGCGACGTATGGCTCAAGGCGTGGCAGGTTCTGTCCAAGTTCTTCAATGTACTTGAAACCGAGGCTCTGAGGGAAGCGGCCATAGACGGTCTCCAGCACCTTGGACTCCAAGGAGTAATCCAGTCGGTGATGCTGGATTTTGAGCAGGATGCCTTTCACTCGGATGAATGCGTCGAAGTTGGCATTGACGTCTTGGCTGGAACGCAGCACCGGGATCTTATCCAGTTCAGCGAACACTTGATCCTGCACTCTGTGGTTTGCTGAAAATTTGGTGTACAGCACACTCAAAGCGTCCTCGTAGTTGAAAGGAAGGAAATGGTTGACCAGAGCAGCCGAAGTTTTGTCAAGTTTTCCCACCAGAAATGACAGCTTGTGGCCATCAGTGTAAGGAAGGGCATCGACTGCTTCCATGAACGCGCCAAGGAAGCGGGGGAAATCAGCGGCTATACCTGTGAAGGGTTGAAGGCGGTCATACCGCTTCTCATTGCGCCGATCAACAATCAGGTCAGCCAAGGTGGGAGGGGTTGACGTGGCAAGGGTGGCAGAAGAAGCCGAAGATGGTGGTGGAACAGTAGAGTAGCCAACTCTAGTCGTGGTGGTAATCGGTTGCCAAACCAAAGGGATGATGAAGGGGTCCTCCAATTGAGCCTGTGTGGGGCTGCCCTGATGGCGATGGGCGGCCCATGATATCATGGACTGGCGAGGTCTACAAAGTGCTCCGGCGTCCAGGCTGGTGGTCGCCTGAACGTTGCTTCAAAAGTTAGCAGCCTCGAGGAATCAAAGTCAGCCTTTAAATAATTTTAACTGATTTCACAATAAAATTGCTTTTTGTTAAAACTTTTTAATTTGACATTCTTAAACTGTTTTTTATTTATTAATTTTTTATTAAATGTATATCACCAAATGGAATTGTCAAATGTGTGACAAAAAGTATTTTAACAATGTATAAAACATAAACAAAAATAAATATAAAATTGTTAAAAATAATAATGATGTACAAAGTTAGTTTTTAAAGTTAAAAATAAAAAGTGTTATTTTGATTAAAAAAGTTGAAATGAGTGTTTTTTAAACTGTAATGCATTTATTATTGCAATAACTTGTTTTAAATAGTTATTTTTGCTGGAATTCAAAACCTTGGTTATTATTTCATGTAAGCTGGTCAAAAATTATAAAAGAATGAAACGAGAAAAGAGAAAAATAGAAAAAATTAGTTAGTTAGATTAAAAAATGGTTTTTCTGAAAATAACTGTTAAATTAAAAGTTAAAAACGTTAAAATAAAACGATTTCTAAATTGAAATCTACAAAAAAATAAAAAGTAAATTTTATATATAAAAAAATTATTTTTGAAAATTACAATTTCCGTTGCTTAAGTATATAACTTGAATAAACAAAAATAAAGTTAAAAAAATAAAAAATAAATAAGGAAATTCAAATTGTGATTCAAGGATGATGATTGATTTTTAAGAATTGAGTTAACATTTTTTCAGTTTTACTTGTAGTTGTGACCATAGGAATACTTAAACATTTTTAATTAAGCTATTTTACTTGGTCCCAGCAACTAAACTTTTTTTTAGAAATAGCCGTTTCTCTTTTTAGCATGCTGCAATCAAGGTTGCAGGCAGTTCAAGTTGCTGATGTTGAGAAGTAGTCTGGAAAGAGGTTGTGACACTGTTTGAGGGAAACATACCGTAATCACGAGAATGTTGACCTTTGTAAAACGTAGAAGTTGCTGATGTTCCTCCTGTTGTTGCTGCAGCTGCTGCTGAAGACACTGAAGAAGAGGCAGAGTTTCCAGAGGCGATGCCACTGGTTCCGCTGGCTGAGGCGCCGGAAGAGGATGAGGCAGAAGTGACTGACGCCTCGGTGACCATTCCAACGGAGTTGGTAGTGATAGTGGTGGTAGTGATGTTGTCCATTTCGTGGCTGTCCCGACGACGACGACCCGATTTGGGCGTAGGAATGGAGAACAAACTGGCTGCCACAGGGGGCCTAGGCATGGGCGTCATAGAATTTGTTTCCCTCTCCCTCTCGAGCTCATCAAACTCCACAAAGTGTGGATTGAGCGATTCGGCAAATGTGCTGTTGCTGTTGCTGCTGATGCTGCTCTTTCGTCGCCCAAAAAGGCGGAAAGAGCTTTGTTGAGCAGTGGTACTGCTTTCGGTACTGCTACCGGAAATGANGACACTGAAGAAGAGGCAGAGTTTCCAGAGGCGATGCCACTGGTTCCGCTGGCTGAGGCGCCGGAAGAGGATGAGGCAGAAGTGACTGACGCCTCGGTGACCATTCCAACGGAGTTGGTAGTGATAGTGGTGGTAGTGATGTTGTCCATTTCGTGGCTGTCCCGACGACGACGACCCGATTTGGGCGTAGGAATGGAGAACAAACTGGCCGCCACTGGGGGCCTAGGCATAGGCGTCATAGTGTTTGCCNGCGTAGGAATGGAGAACAAACTGGCTGCCACAGGGGGCCTAGGCATGGGCGTCATAGAATTTGTTTCCCTCTCCCTCTCGAGCTCATCAAACTCCACAAAGTGTGGATTGAGCGATTCGGCAAATGTGCTGTTGCTGTTGCTGCTGATGCTGCTCTTTCGTCGCCCAAAAAGGCGGAAAGAGCTTTGTTGAGCAGTGGTACTGCTTTCGGTACTGCTACCGGAAATGACTGCATTGTGATTCAGCATTGTTGAGCGAAACGAGGGCGGCTGAGCACCGGGGGCGGCGACGGCAGCAGCAGTCGATGCCAGAGACAGCGACGAGGCAGTCGTTCTTGAGGATGGCTCATAAGAGTTGGCAAAATCGGGCCCAGTTTGAGGAGCGTGGTTGCACTGAGCACAGTTTGCCCCCATGCTGCCGTTTCTCTGATAGCCGTAATCTGCCATTCGATTTTGTGAAAATAGAGCCGAGGCGCTGATTGGCTTGCTGTAGCAGGCAGCAGCTCTCTGGTCTATAAGCAAATGATAGTTTTGCAGCTCTTGGCGGTCCTGCTCACTGCCTGCTGCTGCTGCTGCTGCTGACTGGTTGGCCGCCTGCTGCGTCATCTTTTGCAGCAGTATATGCTGCTGTTGCTGGTGGTGATGCTGAGCAGATTGAGGAGGGAGAGGAGGCGCACTGCCGTCCATTGAGTGAGGTGCAGAGAATGATCCACGATGCGGCTGCTGCTNGCAGCAGTATATGCTGCTGTTGCTGGTGGTGATGCTGAAGGTGGTGTTGGTGATGATGGTGCTGGGAATGACATTGGTGGTGATGCTGAGCAGATTGAGGAGGGAGAGGAGGCGCACTGCCGTCCATTGAGTGAGGTGCAGAGAATGATCCACGATGCGGCTGCTGCTGTTGTTGTTGTTGCTGCTGTGGATACTGCTGGTGTGGTTGCTGCTGGTGATGCTGGCGAAGACTGGGACTGCCGATGGAGGTGCCGCCGATGATGTTCGGGTACTGCGGCTGCATTGGATAGCCGGCGGCGTTGAAGCTGGTTCGAGGGTGGGGAATGCGCGGCAGAGGGTGACCACCGCCCCCAGCACCAGAGCCCCCTGAAGCGCCGGAAATGGAGCCGTTGGTTCGGCGGTTGGCCGCCATGGTGATCGTCTGCTCGTCGCAGTAAATGTACGATCGAGATTTTATTAAGCTAAAAGTAATGAAAAAAGGAAAAGTTAGCTTTTGAAGTGTGATGTACTCGCAACAATCAACTCTGCCCACCTTGGCGTCTGCGTGCTGCAGAGAATGGACCAGCAGTTGGCCCAGACGGAGCCCTTTGAGTAGGGATTGGTCACCGAGTTGGCTCGCTTTGAGGAGTAGCTGCCCTTGATGTCCTCATTGGTGGTCAGATTGGAGAAAATGAGGTAGGTGTGGAAGCCGGCCAGGCCGAGGATTGACCAAACGGAGAAGAAGCAAACCACCGCTNGCTCGCTTTGAGGAGTAGCTGCCCTTGATGTCCTCATTGGTGGTCAGATTAGAGAAGATGAGGTAGGTGTGGAAACCGGCCAGGCCGAGGATCGACCAGACGGAGAAGAAGCAGACCACCGCTTCGCCCATGCTTCCCGGCGACATTTGGATTGCCTCTGTCAATGAGGAGTCTTTGGACACTGGAAAAAGACAGAATGAAATTAGAAATTGTTAACTTTAAAAAACTTTAAGTTACAGAGAATTAGATGAGTGATAATGCAGGCAAAAACGTAGACGCAAAGAAAGGCCAGCGAAACGATGAACATGTAGAAAAAGCGATAGTTTCGTTTTCCAACGCAGTTGCCCACCCACGGACAGTGGTGATCAAAGCGTTCTGTTTTCATAAAAAAATGCAATTAAAATTTGGAAAAAAAATGCAATATTGCAATCACTTACCAACACAGTTGTCACAGAGGGAACAATGAGAGGCACGAGGCGGGCGGAAAATTTTGCAAGTGAAGCAGTATTTGAGCTTTATTGACTGATTATTGATGATCACCTCTTTGGTGCGGGGCGGCGGCCGACAGTTGGGCGAGTTGCCACCGGTCACTGCAAAAAAAGAAAAAGGACAATTGGTAAGTGTTTGAAAACAACAATTTACAACACTAAAACACTCAAACCACTTACGCTCAACATCAGCCGCCTCGTCGGGAGTTGCTCGTGGAATGATGCCCGGATCGGTGAAACTGGTGCGCAGCAGTGTGCCCATGACAAAAATGTAGAGAACGGCGGCGACGACCGGAATGGCCCAGCTCACCTTTTGCGCCAGGTACGGACAGCTGTGGGGACAAAAAAGATAAAAAATCTGTATTTGAGAAATGAAAAGCATCAAAACACTAAGACACACTTACTCGTAGTAGAAGAAAAGAATGCAGGTGGCATTGATCAGCAGTAGTGTAAAGTAGAAGACGGAAATCTGCTTGGCCATGATGATGCGACCGTCGCAGAAAAAGCGATTCCGTCCGGGGAAGATCTTCCAACGGCGAATGCGTTGCATGTTACTGGTGTCAATTGGTTGCTGCTGCAGGTGGGACGGCAGGTTGAGGAGGTGGTTGTGGTGGTGGTTGCCGATGGTGTTGTTATTGTTCCCACCCGTGGAGGCAATGCCCGAAGTGGACGGAAGTGAGGCGGAGAGCGGCGAGCTCATGGAAAGCTCTGCATGAGAGTCCCCGTGAACGGCATGAGCGGCCATTGAATGGTTGTGCTGTTGCTGCTGTTGCTGTTGCTGCATCAGACGTCCCTGAAAACAAGAAGTTCAAAAAGAAGTTTAGCGAATTAGTCATTTTATGATCATCATCAGAAATTTACTAGCACTTACATTAGGAGTGACCAGTTGATGCTGCTGAGCGGGCGACATGTAGGCTGAGGCGCCCTGATCAAGGCTCATTGCACGCTGCTGGTGGTGAGGGTGAGGGTGGTGAGGGTATAGAGGATGGTGATGAGGATGGTGATTGCTTACTCCTCCTCCTCCTGGTCCGGAATTGGTGGGCATCATCTCCAGAGCTACCTGTGCACCATGACCACTTGAGTAGGAAGCTGTGGTCTGTTGCTGCTGTGGCTGTTGCTGCTGCGGTTGCTGTTGATAACCGTTTAGCTGTTGGTGATGGTTGTGGTGATGAGCGTGGTGATCACCACCTCCACCATCACCACCACCACTTCCACTTCCGCCCCCAGAAGGTGAGGCCTGGTAGAAAGACATGCTGTTGTTGTTGCGGTAGTTCATATAGGCGTTCACATTGACGTGAAACAATGGAAAGCAAAAGAAGCGCTGTCACATAACATAAGCAATATCACTAGGTTTTGGTGGAAGTGAATTTGTTATCACTTTTGTTTGCAATTTATCAATTGCAAATTCAGAGGTTTCAGTTTTATTGTTAAAACACGGTATCCTGATTTGAACTAGTAGTGTGGGAAACACAAACAAAAAAGTTGGTATTTAGGGTTAAAACCTTTATTGCGTTTGAAAACTTACCTCTAGAATATTATGCAATCTGAAGATCTACTCTACGCTACAGTAACTGAAGTCTTTTTTGTTCCAAAGTTTTGATTTCCAGCAAACAAACTTTGTTTTAAGTTGTTAAAGAAGCAGTTTTTAATAAAACAAAAGTTGAGCCTGTGATCAAATAAAAAATAAAATTTATAAACAAAACTTACACTTCAAAAAACAAAATCAACAGTAATTTAGACAAAACTGCAAATTGCGTTTTTGAGTTAACATTGTTTTAATTGAAAATTTGCTATTGAAGCACAATTTTAAATGCCAAATTAACAACAACAACTTGAAAAATAAAAATTTGTTTACTACACATTAGCAAACTAAATAAAGCAATCAGGCTAAATCTGGGTATAAAATGTCATCCACTTAAGGAAATATTGGAGACTTCAGCTAACTGACTAACAACAGTTCTCTATTTACTGTAAAATTGAGTCAATTTAATAATAATTTGACATGACGGCAATTGATTTCATCGTAGAATGCCGTTTCAGTTTAGATTTATTTTCACATTAGAAATCACATTATCTTTTTGTTCTCATTTATTTGGATGACGCTTTTTTTTAAATGTCGCACAACCTTTCTTTTGTTTTTGTTTGTTTTTATAAACGTCTTTACATTTGAATCTGAAAATGGCAAAGCACTAAACGACATCTAATCAAACTAACTTGAATTTATCAAAAATTATTTAACTTTTTTAAAAAACAAAACACAAAGCATTTTATTAAAAAACTACCAAAATGAATGTTTGTTATTTTTAATATTAATAATTTTATATTTCTAAAAAATTAAAAATTGATAAATTAAAAAAATAAAAACACAAATTGCAAATTGATTTTTAGATTGAAAAAAGTTTTATGCAAAATACGATCAGTAAAAAATCAAATCAAATTAAATCAACACACGCACAGTTTAGAGAAAAATAATAAAAAGTTGCCGTAATAGCGCAAACATAGGCCCTTTAACATTTTTAGCCGCATCAATTGCCGTCACAACATTAGTGATGGAAATGAGACATTGGCTAAATTTAGACCCAGTCAGTAGCAAGAACCACAGTAAACCCATTGAGATTGACGGCTATTCAAAGAAAAAAGGAAATTGAAAAGGGGTTTGAATTTCTGAATCTAAATGTTACCCTGTACCTCTTACGAACATAACCGCTTTTTGTTTATTAAAGTTATTTTTAACCGCCGAACATAAAAAATGCAAAATGATAATCAACTGGTAAAAAGTTTGAGACTTGTTCCTTTTGTAACAAAACCCTTATTGGTAAACTAAACATTAGCCTACTGACTAAAAACTAATAAAAATGACATTTAATTTAACTGGGAGTAGTTTAAATAATTAATTTTTAAATCAACGCAAAATTTTGTTTGAAACTTTTTAGATAGGACTGACTAAAAATACTGAAATTTTAAAACAAACTATAAATTAAACTGTAAAGTTAAACAAAAAATGTAAAAGTTAATAAACTCTTTTAGTAAAACTTATTTTTATTACTTTTTACTATAAAAATCAAAATTGTTTCAAAAAAGTGACAGTAAAAGATGAAACAGTAAAAATGAATTTATCATGTGTAAGCTGCAAAAACAAAGTTTGTTGCGGTTGCAACAACAGCAGTTTGACAAAATCATCAAAAACTATACCAAAAACAACGATAGAAGAAAAGAACAAGAACAAGAAAAACCTTGCCAAAATGCTGATCAGTGCAAATTTTTTCCTTGTTTAAACTGAAACTAAACTAATATACGGATATAATTCACAAAAATAGGCAGTTCATTTAGTGTTTAGAAATTTGTAAAGAAGCAAAAATGCAATTTTAAATCAACCATTCAATTTACTGTTTTTGCTGTGGTCGTCGCCTCCAAACACACAATTCCAATAGTTATTATCAGGTTTCATTTTATTTGTTTCTTGTATTTTTTTTGTTCGCTTCGTTTTTTTCTTGCTAGTATAGCTAAGCAAATTCCTATTTTTAACTTAGTATTAGCTCAGTGTTTCAAACACTTTTACCCGTTCACTTACGCACTCACTTACCGACAAACAAAAAGAAAGCGAGAGAGATGAATTATGCCTGCAGGAGATTTTGCCTCCACTTCAGTGCCTTTCACTTGCAATTTAGTGTTACACATTGTAATATTTAAAAATCTCTCTCTTTTTCCTTCTTTTTTCCATTATCATCACCCCCTTACCAATACTAGATATGACCGGTGTAAGCAAAAAAAAGGAAGAAAATTGAAGCAGAAGAGGTAAAGGGCAAATGATACATCTAGGTAAAAGAAAAAGGTTACCGGCTACTGTCGTACGGCATTGTAGTAGTGTACGGCGATCTCAGTCTGCCCTCTCGACACTATCACTCAAGAACGTGTCCATGCATACTGAATGACACATCAACAGCAGCAGTAGCAAGGTAATGGTCTGAACAACAAAGGTAAAGTAACCAGATACTCTTTCTCTGGCCACTTGAATAACCAAGTGAGCCAGTGAATAGAGAAACAGGTAAAAGAAGTGAGGAGCTGCAACTTTTTGGTTGCATTTTTGGGATAACTAATCTTTTTCCCTCTTTTTTGTTGCAAAGTAAAGGCCAGGGAAAATTGGCTAGAAGTAATTGCCACACAAAGCAGTCTAACTTTCTTTTTCTGTGATTTAAAGCACAAAACAAAGAACGGAGTTGAACGCTGTGGTGGGAGCAATTACTTGATCTGAAAAATTGCTGCACAAAAAATGAAACAAAAAACAACAAAGGTAGTGGGGTAGTGACATCAAAAGCGGCATTCAGCGGTAAAGGACATTGTGTTTAAAAATAAAAAAATCAGTCGAACATTGTCATTAGATGAAAAAGAGGATGAAAACGAAGATAATTGTTTCTTTCTCTCTTCAATCTTCTGCAATTGATTAGCTCTGTCTAGACTGGATGACTTTGGCACCAGTAATTACTACCGATTATTGACAAACTAGTGTGCAGATGGCAAATAGATCCTTGTTGCTCTAAAAAAATGTGATCAAATCAGTGTGAAATTACTTGCACAGACAATATCTTTAAAAAAATTTTAAGATTATGCTCAATCTGATGGTCTCTGAAGTAGAAATAAAATAGACAGCTCTACCAAAAACACCAGAAATGTGACGAACACTTTCTGTTCAACTATTAGTTTGTATAAAATGAACAACGTTTAGAAAACAAAAATTAATCTTAAGGATCAATTTGTCTACTACGTGTTCTTATTATTTATTTTTTGCTGTTCACTGTCTGTTGTACAATTGAACACAAACAAGAAAAGTGCGCATTTTCAATTTTTTTATTTATCACACTTGACCATCGCATCGGTGCAAATGGTCATAAAACTGTTTCAAGTGCAAAGAAATTGCAAATTTTTTTAATGTTTAGTTAAACAAATGCAAAATAAAAAACTGTTACAAGTTTAAACCGTTTTTTTATTTTATTATCCGTTTTGTTTAACATTCAAAATTATTTTTCTACAAAAATTAAAATAAAGTAAATTTTTAACTATTTATACAAATTTTAAAATTAAAAAATAATTAGTTTTTTATTTTATCTGTAAAAAAATGTATAACTACATTATAAACTTAAAAAAATTCAAACTTTATTTAAAGTTTTTAATGACTTATATAATATGATCATGCAACAAAAAACTTTCTAATTGAAGTTTTTACCAAAACATCAGACACAATTAAATTGAAATGTTTTAATTTAAAACTCCCCCCTACCGTTTATTTGAGTAAACATTATTTTATCATTTTTGCTCCTGTTTTTGAATTTTTGTTAAAAAAATTTAGTTTTTGTTTAAGAGTTTTCTTTCTAGACGTCTGTTTTTATTCTCGCTTGACTCATTTTTTTTATACACAGTTTTATGTTTTTGTAAAAAGACAACACAAAGTAGTGCTTACGCATAATATAGGAAATATGTTTTGCTTAAACCAAACAAATCTTTGTGTAAAGTTTTTAAAAATTAAGAAAAAATGTTTTACAAAGAAAGTCACATATTCTGGAAAACACACAAGCACATTGAATATTAAATTCAGCATACGGTAAATACAAAAAGCACTTTTTACTTAAAAAATTATTAAAAAAATTTAGTTTTTTATTATTTTAGTCTAGTCTTTTTTTATGAAAAAAATTAATTAATTTTAGAAAAAATGCTAACATTTTAGAGCAACAAAACAGTTTGGCAATGTACTAAGTTTGTCAAACTTTTGTATGGTTTTAGCGTGTTTGTTTAACAACAACAAAAACGCAAATGTTTGTTAATTTAAACTGTGAAATTATAATTTTAAACAACGCAAAAATAAATACTAACTAACAAATAATTTTTAAAAACAATTAGCAAACTTAAACATAAAGTAACTGAAAATTTGAAAAAATTAAATCAAATTTTTTTAAAAACAAAAAAACAAAATTGCAATTTGTCACTAGCAAACTTGGAAAAAAACTAAGTATTACCATCAAGATAAAATTGTTTTTTTAAAAGCTTAAATAAACTCTATATCTAATTATAAATCTATTGTTTTTGCACATAATTTGCAAACTGTTCTTAGAAATTTGAAATGTTTTTGATTTTTGTGTGTTTGCTACACCGGTTATCGTCAGCGGATCATCACAAACAAACAAACTCAATTAAACAAAAAATGAAAGTTCAGTGTTTTTGGAATAAACGGCATCCATAGCACTACTGTCATTATCATTAACTTCTGCATCAATAATTTACACA